CATTCGCATTCTTCATTTTAAATATCAAACTTTTCACGCTTTCGTTAAGTATTTTATTATTATTATTATTTCTCTTCGTTCATATTTTAACGCTGTTATAAAAATGTTTATAAAATTAACGGAACAAACAAATTTAATTTATACGCAAATTTAATTTTTCGTGCTTGATAAAATTTTCTCTTGTTTTGCAATTTGCATTCACTTTACTGAATATTATTTAATATGAATATAAATGTCTTTTTGAGATAAAGTAGTCACTGAGTTTTATTCTAAATTTTTTAATAAAAATGTTGCTGAACAAATAGACAAATTAGAAAGCATGCATTTATTAGATACTGCCTTTCAATTTTTTCGAAAGTTATATATAATCATTTGTTTGCTCATTTATGTGGAAATACTAATTATAAATAATTAGCATCCTAATAAGTATTATCTATTCAAATTCTATCGAGTCATTATTCAATTTCAATAGAAATAGTGACGCGTCTAATGAAACGCTAACAAAAATATTCTATTGTAAATATCTTCAGCAAAAATATTTTCAATTCAAAAGTTTTTAATAAATTTGAGTATAGAAAAAATGCTTTCTTTTGTTGTGTACAGCAACATAAATATATGACATTCTAATTTGATTAACGATATGAGAAATACATAAATAAATAAATGAGAAATAGATTAATTATACTCCAAATTAAGATATTTTTGTGATGATTAAATAAATTTTTCTCATGTGCATCAAGTATAATATTCCAATGTAAATTTGAAATATATGTATTGTTTTCTCTTCCTCATTCCCTTACTTCTTTTAACGAAGATATTGCTTTTGAAGATATTAAAGACAAATTATTTTTGAACGAAGGTATTTCAGAAAAGAACATTGTTACAAGGATATTTTTGGACAAACATATTGTTGTACATAGATATTTTTAGAAATATTACTGTAATGATTATCTCGCAGTATCCACAGATTCGGTAGAATCTGGCGCCATGTAGAGTAGCCGACATGTCTTCGGAAGGTTCTGGGTTCGAATCCCAGTCCGAGCTATCTAATAATTTTTTCTCGCATATTCTATACTTTCACATTAAGATGATCCTCTCCACAATCCTTTCACTCGGCTGCCCAATTTCAAAACACAGTAACTAACATTTAAAAATTTTTTTCAATTTTTCTTATTAAAAAAAAGTTTGCCCGCCAAATTAATGACAAATTTGATTTAATGAATAGAAAATACTCAAATATAGATATTTTTAAGAAAAAATACTTGAAATTAAGGTTTAAAAGTTATAAAAAATGCAGCAACACTAAAAAAAAATCAGGTATAAAAATTTTGCAGTTACTGTGTTTTAAAATCGGGCAGCCGTATTATCGGCATAATTATTTAATGAAATTTTCACTGATAGGCGTATATTCACTAATAGGACTACACAAGTCCAGTGTTTAGGTGGATTTTCCAGGCGGTTCAGTCAGATCAGAGTCTGCTGAACGAAAACCTTCCAGTTCCGTCCTGAAGAGTATATAAGAAGCATTGCTCCAGAGGTGGTTCAGTCAGAACTGTTCGGGTTACGAAGAGAACAAAAGGCTGCTTTTATATGACCTCAACGGCCAAAGAGTCACAAAAGTAGGTACTTGAGTCTAGCGCATGTATATGTATCTAAAAACTCATAGTCGAAAATTAAATGTTTAAAGTTTTACATTTATTTTTACACACTAAATAATTTTCAAAATTTAGTAGAAGTTGCAAAAAGGAAATAGTTGATTAATTATAAAATTAGTTAAGAATTAAACATTTATAATTCCCAACTTCATTTATAGTGATATAATTGTTTATTTATTTACTATTTACTATCAATTGTCATAAAAATGTATGGGGTCAGTTGAACCAGCAGTCCCGGGGACGATTGAACCGCGGAGAAGCATGAGACATGCGTGCGCATCATGACTCAATGTAAAAAATCCTCAGGGAACTAATCTAACAATTTAATGAATTGAATTTATAATAAATATTTTTTTTTGAATATATTGTTGATTTGTATAATTTGATATTTGTCCATTAAAAATGTGCAAAAATAATATTGACAAGTAACAATTGATATATTATTTATTACAAGTTCGGGTTTAAGTTTTAAATATCCGAACAAAAACAGTTTCACTGTAAAAACATCGCGCCAAGTTCACGTTCATAAGACTATTAAGAAAAAAAAATTAGTTTTTTTCTTTACAAAAAGATATAAAATTAAAAAATTAAAAAATCCAAGTAACCGATATATGATTGTTTATGATTTTCGGAAATTAAAAAAAATTTTGTAAATTTAAAAATTAAAAAAACAATTTTGGAACGTACTTGGTGTGTTACGTACCTGGAGATATTAGAAAAAGTTGTGTTATCACAAAAATATTTTCTATGAGCATTTCATTTGTGATAATTTTTATAAGTAATATGGTTGTAAGGATTTTTTCTATATAAATAGTTTTGCAAAGATATTTTTCTCTGATTACTTAACACACAGTAAAAAATTTTGCGTCATTGCGTCAAAAAATTTTGTGTTAAAAATTTTTATGTTCAATATTAATAGTTATTTTCGATACGTATGCGCAAAGGTAGGTATGTTGGTAAGCTTGAAATGACGTCACGAGGCTGAGAATGCACTCATAATCTCAGACGAGTGTCATCACTTCAAGTTTATTACCAAAATGCCAACCTTTGCGGATTTGTATCGAACAAATTTTTTTGTAATAGCAACGGCGAAACTCGGATTTGAGAGGATGCAAATAAAATTTTATTCATTTATGAACTGTCACACGTAAATAAATGACAAACTAAAATATTAGTAAAATTGTTTACAAGAATCGACTTGTTGCAAAGATTTTTTTATTTTGATTCATACTCTCCCTGGCGGACGATTGTAGAAATAAACGAAACTAAATATCCTATAGTGCTTTTTAGTATTCATGCAGGAATGTAGACAGATAGAGAGCGAGATGTCACTTATCGATACGCGTGCGTGAAAAGTAGACTCAACTATAGATGTTTTGTCGAAAACTATCCAATGCGGATAATTCCCGTAATTGTTTTAAATTATACGATAAAGTTGGGATTAGGAAATTAAATAATAATACTTGGATTTTTTGGGGAACAATTTAGAAGAATTTATTTGTCCCCAAAGGAGGAAAACCCAGCTAGGCTGGGAAAAAACCTCCTTGATGAAAATTATACAAGTAAATTGTATGTGTGTAAGTGTGTGTGTGTAAATTACGTTGCAATAACGCAATAGGGGTGAGCTCAGCCGCCTTAGATAGAAAATTATCGATAATTTGAATTAGATAAGTCCCAAGGTGGGAGCTGGTAATATCTAATTAATTTGAACTCTCTCAGAGTGAGAGCTATTAATGTTCAATTGTCTCAAGGTGAGAGCTAATAATGTTCAATTGATAACAGAATGTTAGTCAATTGAGTTTGATGTTTTTCATGTAGAAATTAGTCAAATGATTTGAAATTGGAATTTAATTATTTATAAGTTAAATTAAATAAGATCGTAATTAAATGTTAATAATTGATTTAATGTAATTAATTGTTAATATCACGCGTCAATTATGGATTGACTAAAGCCGCGTGGCTGATGCAATCCTTTGTTAACGGTGGCGCGTAATGGCCGCGTGGCGTCACTAAATAAATTTACTTGATTTTACTTATTTATGTTAATTCACTGAACTATTAAACTGATTTAAATGAATTGAGAATTTAAAGTATAATTGAATCTACTATAATTATTTATATTTAATGAATAATTTAAATATTTGAATGAATGTGAGATGCAAGTAAGAAATATCAGAATTGATTAGCACAGAGTAGTCGTACTAGTACAAAAGTCCAAGCACAACTTTTGCAGCAGACCACGCGAGCCGGCTTCTCTACCGCTAACCAAGGCGCGCATGAGCGACGGCCATAGCGTGATACGATTATTCCCGAGTTTATACGATTATTCTCGAGTTTTAACGATTAAGCCCGAAGGCGTAATTCTTCTTATAAGTATTTGACTAGATCTTTTTTCTAGCGGTTAAACAATAGATGTCCAGATATGTATCATTCATTTTACCCCTCCCAACTATAGCACGAAAATCCAAGTTTCGCGGTTGGTATTACAAAAGCACTTTTTTGTGTTGATTTAACAAGATAAATGATTTAACACACAAATTTTTAACACTAAGTTTTTTGACGCAATGACGCAAAATTTTTTACTGTGCAAAGAATTTTATATCAAACATATTTTTGCAGATATTTTATAATAATTTGAAAATAAAAACCAATCACTCAATACTTATTTAATGCTTAAGCATTCTAAAATTTAATGTTATTTTTCAACTTAAAATTCATTTAATAAGAAACATTATTATTATTATTGAAGTGCGGTTAAAATGTCAACTTTAATTTATTTATTTATTTATTTAAATAAACAAACCCAACAGCCTAGGGGCCATTAACAGGGTTAATAATACAACAGTTAGTACATAAAAACAAGAAAAATTTTTGATTTATAACAAGATGACTTATAGCTAGTATAGTGATTTCATATTTAATACAATAATAATATTACGTAGAGCCGAGAATTTAGTTTTTTTAAAAGAGAGAGACAGCAGATAGGTGTAGCCAAGCGTTCTGATTGGTCGTAATAAATTAATTGTTTTTTGTTTTTCGCAATCAAGTGAAGACAGCAGCTTGAAGGAAAAATAAAAATTAGATTGCTAATCCAATATGAAAATATAAAAAATATGTCAAAAAAACAGGTTAGTTTGCAGATGTTAAAGTGCTTGTAAACAAATACAAGTCGGTACTGCTCAAATAAATAAAGAAGAGAATTTCAAGCACAGTGTTGTGACCAAAATGTTTGATGAAATTAATTTAAAGTGAACAGTGACAAGCTGGCGATTTCGCTGGAGATCGCGTAAAGGAATTGCTCCCGGTCTCACTGGTAATTTTGCTGGACATCGCACTGATGGTCTATTTAAAGACAGTAAGACCTCCAGAGATATCGTCAGCGTGATCTCCAGCGAGACCTCCAGAAAGATCGTCAGCGTGATCACCAGCGAGATTTCTAAAAAAGACCGTCAGCGTGATCACCAGCGAGACCTCCAGAAATATCGTCAGCGTGATCTCCAGCAAGACTCCAGCAAAACAACCTCGAGTCAAACCCCTAGCATTACCATCAGCACGATCTCTAGCGAGGAAGTCAGCGGGACCTCCAGAAATACCGTCAGCGTGATCTCCAGCGAGACTCCCAGATAAACCCTCAGCGTGATCTCCAGCGAGACTCCCAGATAAACCCTCAGCGTGATCACCAGCGAGATCTCTAAAAAAGACCGTCAGCGTGATCACCAGCGAGACCTCCAGAAATATCGTCAGCGTGATCTCCAGCAAGACTCCCAGAAAAACCGTCAGCGTGATCTCCAGCGATACCATCACCGTGATCGACAGCAAAATCACCAGCGAGACCGGCAGCAATACCATTAGCACAACTTCCAGCAAAACAACCTCTAGTGAGACCATCAGCGAGACCGTCAGCAAGAGTTCTAGCAAGACCTTTAAATAGACCGTCAGTGCAATGTCCAGCAAAATTACCAGTGAGACCGGGAGCAATTCCTTTACGCGATCTTCAGCGAAATCGCCAGCTTGTCACTGTTCACTTTAAATTAATTTCATCAAACATTTTGGTCACAACACTGTGCTTGAAATTCTCTTCTTTATTTATTTGAGCAGTACGGACTTGTATTTGTTTACAAGCACTTTAACATCTGCAAACTAACCTGTTTTTTTTGTCATATTTTTTATATTTTCATGTTGGATTAGCAATCTAATTTTTATTTTTCCTTCAAGCTGCTGTCTTCACTTGATTGTGAAAAACAAAAAACAATTAATTTATTACGACCAATCAGAACGCTTGGCTACGCCTATCTGCTGTCTCTCTCTTTTAAAAAAACTAAATTCTCGGCCCTAAATATTAGTATTACTATTACACTGTAAAAAAAACCGGGGTAAGTCCAAAGCAGTGTAGGTGTCAAAATTTGCGGTGTTAAATTCCAACACCAAAAGCGGTGTTAAAATAACACCGCTGCCGGTGTAAATATTTTTTTCCGGTGTTAAAGCGGTTTTAAAATATTTTTTGATGTTGAAGATATTTTACTCTGTGAATACTTTTATTCACTAAATTACTACTATTGGGCAATATATTCATTAATTCATAAAACTATTAATTATTGAAATGATAGCTGTAAAATTGTATAATTTTTAAACAAAGTCTGTATTACATAGGTAACAATTTAAATAACTACAAACCGGAATTAAAATTTGTTCTGGATGATACTCATAGACTTTTTATATTTTTTTATGTCATACATTTTTTTCTTAACTTTTATAGGCACAATTTTGTTTATTTCAGTAAAAATCATAAAAATTACACCGGCCCACAAAAAAAAGTGGTCTTTACTTTTGATCGGATCTACCTATCTATATGTATTTTGACGTGCTGAATCCAAATCTGAAGTCAGTTTTGTCCGCACACCCTCAAAAGTATGAGTAAAATGCAAAAAATCCAAAAAAAAGGTAAAAAATTGCGAAAAACTGCAGTCACTGTTCTCTTCATTCTACTTATACTTCATTTTTTATAGATTTTAAAATTTTGTGAATATTTCAATTCTAAGATCATATTTCATCCATTAAAATGCACCTAAGTTATTAACAATTGTGATTAATAGATTTTTTCTCATATTTAAAACTGCAATTTTCTCGATTTTTTTTATTTTTTGAGATTTTTTTTTAATTTTAAAACGTCAATAGGACAAGAAAACTTCAGATTCAAATTCAGTGGAACAAAGTACATAAAAATCATACTCAATCTGAATCCAAAAAATTTTTTTCATCTCGATAATTTCGATTTTTCATGATTTCTTGCCTTTTTTCGGTTTTTTGCAATTTTTTCAAATTTTGACGAATCAAGGGGCTACTTAATGTTTAGATTTAAATTTAGTGAATTGACGTACATGAAAATCATACTTGATCTGGGTTCACAAAAATTTATTCACCGCTGTGACTGCAGTTTTTCGCAATTTTTTGGGTTTTTTTTTTTGCATTTTACTCATAATTTTGAGGGTATACGGGCAATACTGACTTCAGATTCGGATTTAGCGCGTCAAAATACATAAAGATAGGTCTGGTTAAAAGTATAGACCACTTTTTTTTTGTGGACCAGTGTAATGAATACTACTTAAATATATTTTCTATTTATTTATTTAATTTAAAAACTAAATTTTATTATGTTTTATAGATTTTATAATCTTGATATTTTAAATAGAATGGTTACTTCTCTTTTACACTGGTATTACTCCGTTTTACACCGGTGTTATTTTACTTTAACACCGCACGGTGTTAAAATAAGTCCATTTTTAACACCGCTCTTTTTACAGTGTAATTAAAAAATTAATTAAAAAAAAAAAAAAAATTACATTAATTATAAATATTCTATATTATCAATATTAATTATAAATTTAATAGATAGATTGTTAAATGAGTAAACCATTGATGTGTTAGCAATTGCAAACCATAACAAAAAATAATATTAATTGCTAAAATTAAAAAGAAAAAAAAATAATAATAATAATTATAAAATTTGTAGCAATTGCACATAATTAACACCATTGAGTTAATATTTGGCCAAGTGATGCTGTTATACAGCCACTAAGTTAGTTTGACAGCACCAGGTGTAAATAATTATCTGATAATTAGTAACAAGATTGTTTAGTTCAAATTAAATCAAATTATAACAGTCATTTAAGAGCGCAAATCTTGTACTATGTAATATACTGGTCTGGTGCCCGATAAATCTACTAGTATTGACATCACCAGTTTTAAAGACCTTACAGCTAATATCACTCAAACTCTCAGAAACAGATCTAAAAAATCACTAAAAAAAAAACAAAAAAAATAATAATTTCACTACACTGAATAGTTCGCTAGCAGAATGTTCTCATAGATAGTTAATGATTTTTGTTCAGGCCCATAACCGAAGTTCAGGTATGCTGAACAATAATCTGTCGAGTCCCTCTGGTTGCTATCCGTAGATTCTCCTCACCCGCTGAAGTATGCCGCTTCATCTCTTCCTTCAGGGCCAGATATTCCTGCCTCTGCGCCGGTGTCTGGTCCCGAGCAATTACTAGTTGTAAGGTTTCTGGTAACTCCTTGTGGACCTTGGATCTGATAAATGTTTGAAGTATAGTTTCAGTCGAGTCAGGATCACTAAAGATTATTTTAATCGGACGTGGGGTCGTACTATTCATCAAGAATTTACCCACGTGGATACATTTAAATTTAATTTTTGTTTTAGCTAATGGTTTGTTCAATAGTTTCGACAAACAATCAGTGATCTTGACATGGAGGTTACCATCTTCAGATCCCGAAGATTCACTCTCAGGAAAGCCATATACCATGAGATTAGAACGCCGGCATAGTCTGTCATCAAATTCTTTCAATAAATTATGAGGCGCCCCTGACATAGATGAGGTCCCAGAGGTTGTTGATACGATACTGTCAACTTTCTGTTTAAGATCAACAATTGCACTATGCTCATTAATACCCTTTGTGGAGAAATTTTTCAAATACGTATCCAAATTGTCAAGCCGTATTTCAACATTACCAAGCCGCCGGGCTAATGGCATAATTTCATCCCTGAATGTTTTCTGAAAGTCCTCAAGTGTAAACTGAAATGTTCCACCTGAGTTTGTTGATTTACCACGACCTGGTCCACAGAATCTCGTGAATCCGCCACTCTTTGTTAGTGCTTCAGCATTTACACATGCCTTATGAAAACAACTCAGGCATTTTGGGCAGTTGACAGATTTGTGTAATATAGGTACATTACAAGCCCTGCACGACACATCCACCTCACAATCGGTAAATGATGCATTACACTTATCCATTACAATATATATTTACGCCGTTAGGGGTCAGCAAACACTACTAAAAATTGTCCAGATATGTCTTATTACTGCGAATAATAATAATAATAATATTGATGCCTCAATATTGGAGGCAATATTGGAGGCATAATTAAATCTTTAAACTGAAAAATACAATTTATCCTAGTACATATGTTGAAATGAAATTACAAAAGACACATTGTCGAGCATACACTACTAACTCTCAACTAAAAACATTTCCAACTTCACTACCAGCTCGGTACCAGAAATGAAATTCTAATTTCCCACTCGAGTCGATAATTTATGTTGACCGATATATCGTTAATTAGTACGTCAAACAAAGATAACCGTTATTTCTTCTGATAATTTGATTTAGTAATTATAGCAAGTAATCGATTTCAACAATAAATAAATAATAAAAATTGAATTAAACTATCTAATTACATTCCTCAGAGATAATTGTCAGTTATTTTTATCCATGACAGTTAGATCTATAATTTTATCATGAACATAAAATGATAATTAATTATTCAAACAAAATTATACGTTACGCCTTTAACTTGAATTACAAAAAAAATCATTCTTAAAACTTTACCATTTATAAAATAGCTTGTAAAAGCGTGCATTTGTACTTAACTTGCGGAAATTAAGTGCATGTATAATTGAACACAAGTGGATTAGTGAAAAATTTTGAAGTGAGCGTAAAGCACACTCAACGCTCTTGAAGACAATCTCATACATGCCTTCAACTTTTTAAACGTTTCCAATAACCTTAAATTGGAACTTTTTGACAAATTTACTAATAAATTAAAAAATAAAGTACCTATATTATTCTGCTCAGTCCAAGAAATACAAACGAGTTCCAATCTCAAAAGTGTACCCCCTACCGTAGTCGCTCATGACCTTAGTAGTTTATGCGACTTTAAACAAATTAAAAAAAAAAAAAAAAAAGTACCTATCAAAAAAAAAAAAAAAAAAAGAAATATACAATTTTCATCAACTAGTTAATGAAAAAATATTTTCCTCAAGTAATGTTTTTTTATCAATAATATTAATAAAGGTCATCCATTTTTAAAGAAATTATTTTATAAAATTGCAGTAATAATTTATTTAATTGTTTATCGTGCATCAGTATGAAAAAAACATCGGATTTAAATGAAAAGATGATATCATAAATTAACAACAACATAAATTTCTTACGTCTGTATAGACATGGTAAGCATCTTGACGATCAGAGAATGTAATTTTCTGGTATATAGATAACGATTACTTTTTTTTTCCATTTTCTCACGACCACGAGAATCCTTTGAACACAACTAAACCTAAGAATACAAAGTGACCATATGCGGCGTTTCATGACACAGCACGCAAGTGCAAGACCAAATCGCATATACATTGTACAATTCTTATAGTAGCTGCTCTACTCCAATATAAACACGAACTTAGCAGCATTTTCAATGCAGTATGCAATGCAACTACTTAAGTAACTAAATACTCGGAGAATACTTACCATATCTTATATCCATGGATATAAACGTAAAAACAACTAATAGCAAGAAAAAAACTTTTTGATTTGTGTCAGGCAACTTGGCCTCCTTACAATTGTAACATATAATTGTTTTTCTCACGAAATAACTTTAAATACTGCTATGCAGTAAAACTAAAACTTAATTATACAAAAAACAATAAAATATTTGA